TTGCTTACGGCGGCAGTATGGTTCTCAGGTACGGAAACGGTAGCGTGTAAGCGTATCCTGCAAATTCCGCTGATCCGGTGTGATTTATCGAGAGTAGCCGAGAGCAAGAGGAGCACCAGCAAATCGCCGGTTAAACGCGCCGGGCCTAGCACCCAGGCCAGGCACGCTTCCGGTGCCAACAGGGTATCACAGAACAGCGCCGGGACCAACAATGCCACCAGCGGAAGATCCGGTCAGGGGAATTACGCCCGCGCGCGGGTCGCTAAGGAGAGAGAGTGTCCTTTAGCGCCGACGTGCGACTCTAGGGGTCACCTCTCCGGGAAGCTCGAATCGCACTTCACGTTGGAGGCTTGCCCCATGTATCACAATACCACGTCGCAAGCCTGCATGTAAGTCGTCGTCTTCATTCCTTGCCAATGCCACGCGTTCTCCATGCACAACGTTCAATCCTGACATTAATGTACCCCACGTTGCAGAGAGTTTCACAAAGACAGGAAGAAGCGGGAGGAGGAGCGGAAGAAGGCCGTCGGTTGCCTCGCGAAGAAATCGCCGAAGGGCGTGCACCAGACGACGGAGCAGCGGAACTATCAGCTGAAAGTCAGAGAGCTGAGGAACAAGTGGAAGGGGAACACCGGCGACGGGAACGAGACGGACAGCGAGAACGAGCTGCAGGGGAACGAGAAGGACCGTCAGCCGCGCCTGACGAACCTGACGCCGGACTACGATCTGAAGCTGTTCATGGAGGCCCAGGCGATCGCCAGCGAGAAGATCGTAAGTTCCCCGAGGTCGCGCGGCTTCCCCGCCTCGCCGGGGATCGCACCGAAGGCTGAATTGAATTGCGTTCAAGGAGAAAGAGCTGAAGGAGCTGGACTACGACGGCGAGGGTAGAAACGCGGGCGGCACGCGGGTGATCGAGATGGGCAAATGGGAGATGGAGGTGTGGTACCAGAGCCCCTATCCCGAGGAGTTCAGTCGCGCACCGAAGCTTTACTTGTGCGAGTACTGTCTGCGGTACGCGAAGAGCCGTCAGGTGCTGAGGCGGCACAGGGAGAAATGCTTGTGGAGGCATCCGCCCGGCCACGAGGTATATAGGTCGGTCATCCGTTCCATCGGTTCCCCGATTGATCGCCGGCATCGTTTGAATCCGCGGATTCTAAATTACACTCCCCGTTACAGGAAAGACAAAATAGGCGTGTGGGAGGTGGACGGCAAACGCTACAAGCAGTACTGCCAGAACCTCTGTCTGCTGGCGAAGTTCTTCCTGGACCACAAAACGCTGTACTACGACGTGGAGCCGTTCCTTTTCTACGTGATGACGATCGGTGACGCGGAGGGGTGTCACACGGTCGGCTACTTCAGCAAGGTGAGCGTTGTCCTCTCTTTTCTCACTGCACGAGGAAAAATGTGGGCCGTCGCGCGTGTACACGCGTACAGGCCTGACCCTGACGAGGATGGTCTCCTTTTTTACTCCGGTTTACTGCGCGGACCACCTTCACCGTCCTCTTCAGGGTCGTCCTGTGCGTTTCGGAGAAATCATTGAAATACCGGCAGGGACGGCCTTATTTTTAACACCGTCCGACTGGTCACCGACGAATAAAGACGACGCTCTTGCGCAACGCGCGTTGCACTCGCGGGAAAGTAAAAGGGGCCTGCGTTGTTCGTTGAACAGGATTTTTGTAATTATTATCGTTTTCCTCGTGCAAATTACTCGCTTGAACGATTACACGAATCAACGTTCAACGGGCAATTGTTCACGTTGAGTTAACAAGGAGTTAACGCGACTGTCGTGAGGATTTTCGGCGTTTCATATAATGTTATTCTCTCGTGGCAAAGATAAATGATGTTAGAAATAATTCTTAATAATTTACTGCGAACGGTGGTATCCCTTTGGTATCGCTCGCGACAGTGAACGCGTTAAAAAATAAAATCAAGCAAGGCATAAAAGAAATCCTCCTCGAGGAGTTTCTTATTGGCTCGTTGCGACAAGCTACCAACGGAGATATTAATGCGAAGCACGTGCGTGTACGTGCGCGACTGTGCGTGAAACGGTACGCCTGTGTCGGTTAGCACTTGCGTAAACGGGGGCCCACGTTCACATGATAGGCGTCCCATGGACAACACCCGGGGATAATATTAAAACCGCTCGAACGATTCCGAACCGTCCTCCCGTGTCCCTTTTGTCGCTATTCGTATTAACGTTGATTGTACGAGCTGTCCGCGATTATCAGCCGCGTCGCTGTTCGTCTACGCTCCGCCGCGGCGAACAACATTTAATGGAGTAACGTTTAACGCTAGAACCACCGAGTAATTAGAGCGACTTATATTTAGAATCCCTCGTGAGAATTAGGAATGTTAATGTTTAGGAGATTCGGAAGAATTCTTGTTGCATTTCCGTTTGAATTCGTTTGACGAAGAAACCATCGTGACTTTGATGGTTGGACAATGAAAATTCAGAAATAGATAGTTTCCACTGAGAAACAAGATTCGAGATATTTTTAGTTTCAGATAATCACTAACGAAACGGAAGTTTTATATTCATATTGAACACGATTGAGATACTTTCTAATTTTCTAAATTTCGATGCGGACGTCTGCTTCCATCATTAAACCTTAGCACTCCGGATGGTTTTGTAATTTATCAGCAATTGCGACTAATTTTTATGGTATCTCTAGTGAAAATGAAAAATGTTGTAACATTCCTTCGATCTTTCATTTTCCTTCTCAGCACAAAATTTGGATGTGGAAAATCTAATAATTTTAGGGTAGTTTCTTTGATTCGTTAGAATATTTAACTGTCTACAGAGCCTACAGAGTTCAAAGGGTTAACCCTTTGCGGACCAAACTCTCATATTTCGAATACCGATTTGCGAAGGAATGATTTAATAACTCAAATAGCAAGGGATCAATGCATGCCTTTTCCTCCATTATTTAAGCATCCGTCGTGTAATTTGGCCGAATCTGCCGAAGGTTTCGTGTTCTTTGAAGAATCTTCGTCCGCAAAGGGTAAAACTGTCGCAACCGATACCCTCGGATCTCATCAGTTCCCTCGCGAGGTACAAAAAGTCCCCGGCCGGCCGATCGAAACGAACAAACACTCCTCGAACCTACATCCATCGTCGCCCGAATAAAATACTAATTTTAACTTCTTCCGAGGATACCGGCACATGTCCGTAATCCCTAATTTTAGTCCGATATTAAAGCCGAATGGTCACGCGCCGTTCGACACGTTCGCAATTACATTCTCGCCGGTTCCAATCCCATTCGATCCACGATAAAAATTAGATCAAGATACCCGTAGCTCTCGAGTCCCGGCGACCCTCAAAATACACGTTCCTGTCTGCCAGATCCGGGCAAACTCTGATCACACTTACGATCAGTGACTAATGACTGAGTAAACATCCGAGCGTAACTGATGACTGAGTTTCTAACAACTATCGACTGATTACAGTAAAACCGCTGAACACTAATTGCAATCGTGACTAAAGACACTTGTATGCATCAGAAAATCGTGACAAATCAACGTAACAATTATTAATTAACTCTCTGTAGGCCCATGTAACTTTAAAGTCACATATCAGTATATTGGCATCTTGTCGATTTATTTCATTTTGCACTCGAAGCGGTGAAAATTAAGTAATCAGTGAACTTCAACTTCTATACGCTCAGGCGTGAAAGTTTAACTTGTAACTTGAAAGATACAAAATATATTCGTTTGATGAAATTATTGAAACTATTGAGTAATTGTTAATTCGTATTCACATGTGGATATCTATTAATTTTGTACCGCATAGATTTTGTTATAATATTGAACAAAAATTCGGCGCATAAGGGGTTAATTCAGAAAATCTGCATCTCATTATACAAAGCTCGGTGTTACACATAAATCTTCCTAATTCCACCGCACCGAATCAATCGGTGACCGAGACACGGCAGCCGAGTGGAAGGGGTTAACAATTATTAATTAATCCGTGCCCTACTCCGCTCGTACCCCTACCCCACTCACCTAATACGCCTATCCGCTATTTTTGCTTCTATTTCGCGGTTTACCGCAGCTGGTAATGGCATCCGCGTGCCGTGCACGGATTACACGGGGGTGTGTATCGCGGAAAGGGGGTGTCTCGTGTCTCCTCCGTTCCCCTCCCTCCCCTCGGCCCACGGTCGAACCGTTCCCGGTCTGCTCGGCCGTTGGAGAAGGAGGGAGGAGGGAGAAGGAGGATGAGGATCGGCGAGGAGGTGGATCGGTGGGAGAAGGCTCTTCTACGCACGCCTATTTACTGCGGAACAGCATCGCCGGAGTCGAAATCTTTACCGACGTTCAACGACCTCTGACCCTGGCAAGACGCGGCAATCCGCACCCCCGACGGACGGGGGCCGGGGGACGGTTGCCGAGGGTGGGCGACGAAAATTTCCTTCGGTCCCGAGCAAACGTTTACCCCTGTTCCCTTTTGTCCTCCAGAAGACTTCCAGAAAACCTTCTTATCCTTTCTTAGGGGTGGGACCGGTTGCTTGTTCCTTTGTCTAACGGGTGGTTAGGGATGCGCGCCTTTTTGCTGATTGATTTCTGCCCTATTTCCGTCGGATTGCTTGCTTTTCCTAGCGTTGATGATGTTCGGAGGAATTCGTGAGCTGATAATTCGCGAGGACTTTTATTCGGATTATGACGTGATGTTAGGGGTTGTTTTAGAGATAATTTATAGGTAGTGATAGGGTGTTCTACTTGGGGCTTTGAATTGTTTATTTCTGTAGATATTAGAAGCTTGGGCTTGATTTCAGTGAGTTTATAGAGAAGGGTTAATTAGATGTCCTGCGTTGGAATTTCTGGTTGCTCGTTGTCATTCTTATTGGTCAGTGATTGTTGGAGAAAAGTTAAATTAATGATAGGATGTTCTACTTGGGGCTTTGAATTGTTTATTATTGTAGATGTTAGAAGTGTTTGGGGTTGATTTGAATGAACTTGTAGAGAAGGGTTAATTAGATGTCCTGCATTGGAATTTTAGGTTGCTCGTTGTCATTCTTATTGGCCAGTGATTGCTCGAGTAAAGTTAAATTAATGGTAGGATGTTCTAATTGGGACTTTGAATTGTTTACTATTGTAGATATTAGAAGCTTGGGGTTGATTTCAACGAATTTATAGAGAAGAGTTAATTAGACGTCCTGCATTGGAATTTCAGGTTGCTCGTTGTCATTCTTATTGGCCAGTGATTGCTCGAGTAAAGTCGATCCCTGTTTTTAATATTTCTACCGTGTTGAATTGTGGGAAAGTCTTCGTTTCGCTGCGCGCGTCGGCTTACAGGTTATTTACGAACCGGTGCAGCCTAACAATCATTCTTCTAATGATCAGCGTCGCTTTGAGGGGATATATTTAGGGATGTGTTAACGTTTGTTGAGTCTCCGCGCGCACGCGTTACCGTGATAAATTCAATGTTCACGAGGTCTTCAACCCTGTCAGCCGAATAACCCTTTGAGATCGGAAAGAACGGAACGCTGGTACCCGTACGACGGCTCACCGCGCCGCTCCGCGTACTCTGCGCAATGATTACATACAAGAATCGTTATCTGGCTTCTTGTTTGTCTCCGTTATTTTTAGTTTCCTCGATACATGCGTCGCTTTCCACATACTTCGACTTTTCCGCGAAGGAACTCGCGACACGCTGCTGCCAGACCGTACAAATGATCCGCTTCACGATTCAATGAATAAGCAGAATTTCTGTCTAACGAACAATCGAAATTTCTGCTTGTTTCATAAATCAACGGAACATTAACGTGCTCTCAGAAAATTGCTGTTGACCTGTCTCCTAGCAAGCTGTAAAAAGTAAATCAACTCTCTTCAATTTAAGAGAAAGGAGTCGAAGTTGAAGCAAGGGATGAAGCAAATGAACAAAGAACATTAGAGATCATTAGAAAATACTGTTAACATCCAGTAAATCTACTTGTATTCTGGTATCAGCGAAACGCGCGTATGCAGAGCGATCGATCATCCATCAACACTTCATCCCCCAAAAAGCCGCACGCCAGAAGTGTCTCCCGTGCATCGACTAAAACACGTGCGTCTCCATTCCAGAGGCGCCGCGGACGCGTGCTAGCGTACCGCGATTCATCCGCAGGCTCGATTCCCTAAATAATTCCCCGACGAGCCGTGGCGGCGCGTGTCCGCGAGGGGTGGGGTTCATCGTCCCCGATTCCTCGGGACCCGGTCCGGGGAGGACGCCGCGCCGCGCTAAAATCCCGGACGCGATAATTTCGATATCGATCCTCCCCCAAAATTCACCTTCCTAAATATCTGCGAAACACACTTGCGATACTGGTGGTTGCCACCGTCTTGGAGGAGAATGTCAACCCTTTGCACTCGAGAGGTGACTCTCAG